TTATGAAGTAAACAAACCAGCTTTTATGCTTAAAATTTTTAATCATGTAAACATTTCCTACTGAGGTGACTAAAATTATAGTGATCTCACCTTGTCTCTGTCCTTCACCTGAAAGTGACATTAAAAAAAAAAATCTAGGGTTTTCTGTATTTTTTTGAAATGTTTACAGCTGAGCCTTCAACACAATTATGAAGGGATAAGCACCTCTGGAACAGAGGTGGAGTCAGTTGCAAGAAAATCTGGTTAGTATTTCACTGTAGACCATAATTCTGTCTGAAGTGTTGAAAATGATTTTATAAAATAAATTCATCATTTATTTATTGCAAACAAATTAGCTCTATAAAATTGTCCTAGTTCTCCTGCTTCTGTAAAATTTAGATCAGCAAATTCATTATAATGTTTGAAACTGCATTCTTGCTTTTCTCCTTTCAGTTTTGGAACAAATATAAATATACATGTGGATTATTCAATGCTGTCATCCGCACATGTAATGTTATATGCTGACATTAAGAGTATACAGTAATGCCATCCAATGGAGTTTAGACATTTGTCACTTCAGTTCTAATTATCAAATGCCAGTTTATGAAAATAACACGGTAAAATGTTTTTCACAGACTAGCCAAGTTAGCTTGGTGCCATATAGTGCCCCCTTGTGGAACAAAATAAATAAAGCTAGACAACTGGCAAATTTGCTGATATTTCTAGGAATTTCAAAATCTCTTTTCTGAGGCCATACCAATAAGAAGATTTGCTTGGCATTTCATTCAATTGTCCAACAGTATAAGGAAAGCTATTATTATGGTTTGCAAATATGAAATGTCTTTGAAACAAAGAAGAAAACTAACATAGCTGGACTACTCGAAGCATAGTTTTTCCTTCTACCTTTTGTAACATCCTGGAGAACTCAAAAACTTTTTCACATTTTTGTGTTATTTTGGTTTTGTGATAAAGGTATGAGTCAACTAGATGGCAGCTCTAGCCAACCTTGGCTGATTTTGAGAAGCTGAATAGGTTCAGACCTGGGCAAGTCTTGGATGGGAGACCACCAGGAAATCCCAGGAGTGTCAGTGAGATTGTGAAGTTAAAATATGTATCCTGGAGAAAGGCAATGGCAAAACACAAGAATGGATATGCCCATATAGTAATAAGGAGTTGAGTTGAATTTTAATAAAAGCATCACCTAGCTATGGATTTTGAACTTTTCCCCATAGATGACAATTGCTCTTAGATAGAATGTATAACGTCAGACTTCAAAAGATGTGGAAACTGATGAAAAAGGGATTATCTTTCAAACGTAATCCAATGGCAAGGGGGGAAAACGGAGAATGGCAAGAAGTGGAGAATAAAGGGCTGACTGGCATTAATCTATACTCAGTGATAGAATGGGTGAGATGACATCATGGCATAGATTATTTAGTAGTGAAGACAAATATACTGAACAAGCATGTGAAAACTTGGCTGATGCAGGTGTTAGTCGATGTAGTGGTTTGTGGATAAGGACACTGTGTCTATTATTAAATACAGAGGCACTGGATGTCTTCAAAAGGAAGCCAGAAATCTGCCATGTGTGTCAATCGCAGGAATTGCTGCCAAGTGGTCAGCACAGGATGTCCAAGAGGGATTACTATATGACACTGGAGTGCAAAGTTGGTGCAAACACAATCAGTTTTTCCTTCTCTGAATAGGTAGTTTTGCTTTTTCTAGCAGGGAGCTGTAATGGCAACTTCCCTGAAGCAGGGATTGCAGTGTGATTTAGGATTTTCACACATAATCCTAAAACCGCAAAGAGAGAGACATATAGAGTACATCGTGATATGGTCAAAAACGAGGTGGTTTCCTTCTTACTTTCCAGTTGTAATGCAGTTTCAGGTGTGTGTGTATATGCGTACATGTGCATATATGTATGTGTGTATGAGGAGAAGACTGATGTACTGGATAATGTGACAGTACAATATTTTTCCATGGGTACTACAGAGTGGTAAAGAAAAGCAAGAGAAATCAAACTAGCAGCAACCTTGTACAAAAAAAGAATGGACAATTTTTATCATTTATGTTGTATTGGGCTGAAACCCTCTGCCTGCCATTGGCAATTATGACTTCACCCTTCAGGGGCATCCAGCTGCTGAACAAATATTCCCATAAATCTCTCTATCACTTCTAGATTCACATCCTCAGAAAGAGCAGTGCACCAAATGGCCCAAGACATAATGGCGATCAATCTGTTGCAATCTCTTGAGAATATTAAGAAAACATGGGACTAAATGTTAAGAAAACTTATGATAACCTTTATTTGGCCTCTATAGAAGATTTTAATTAAACACATTCCTGAAAAAGAAGCAACATATGGAAAACCAAAGCCTATAGTGACTGAACTACCAAAAAAGATTATTGGTAGGTTTGGAATATTCATACACAAGATTCAGATGCCGAACTGAGATTTTTCTAATTTCTAATTATATAGACATCTACGAAATAAAGATGAGATGGTGATGATGATTATATTGCAAAGTTTAAAAATCCAGGAAGTATTCAGGCTAAGGTAATATTAGCTTGGGAAACTGCAGGATGGCTAGTTCTTCCCAAATCAATAGTAAGAAATTCCTTGAATTAACCAAGGAATAACAATTTTAATTTTCACCAACAGATTCCTTATTTATGAAAGCCACCATCTACTACACCCATTATCGTACATTGTAACAAAAATTAAAAAACAACATAGGACTATTATTTCACTTAGTTTCTGGATTTTCCAAGATGGCTCTCAAGATGCAGTACTTAATACTAAGTATTACACATTTTTATTACTGTTTAGTTCTGTCACACTTCTTTTAATTTTTCTGATTTTTTTCAAAACATTGCTGCTTTATTCTGTTTCTATTTTATTTTCAAATTGTATTTTATGTCTTTAATTTTTTTACTTTTAAGTCATCCAATGAACATTTGTTATTGTGTGGTACATGCAATTAATTAATAACTAAACTTTTAATAACATTTGCAGTTGCCTTAATACTTGTGTACAATACACAGAATTGGCCTGTGTAGCAGCTTTAAGGAAATAGAGATTTACCACTCAGTTTCCTACAATCTTCCAGTTAGAAATAAAATGAATTTAAATATTAAATCTTAAAAAGATTTGTATAAAGTTGTCTATTCTAATATCATTTATTGAATGTATCATCAACCAAATTAATTGTGAAGCACTTGTCTTCTCTCTCTTTTCATATTTGTATGAAGTAGAGTATAATTGTTCTGAATCATCTTTGAAATATTCCAAGATTTTGAACTTAATTACACTGCATGGTATCTAATTATTGCTTTTGCAAATTGCAGTATCAGCTATTTAACAAGAGCTGGAGCAAATGAATTATGACCCACTGTGTATTTTTCTCCAGTTCTTTCATATTAACCTTTCACCTTTCAGTGGTGTCACTCTAACCCTTCATATATATGTCACCATGTGATTAAAGAGAAGTAAGGCTGTGTTCCCAATGGCCTATTCTAAATGAAGCATGAGTTTTCCTTGCAGTGGTATGTTGATCTCTTTAGGTGGAAGTAGTTCAGCTGGCATCATGCAGACATCAATTTATTATCAATGTATAAGCAACCGAGGGGACATCACATATCCTTGTCTTATTCTGTTATTGAATCTTTTGCTATGCATTCCATGCATTCTCATGTATGCTTACTTTAATAATATATTGCTTTTATAGCATTCGGTAATCATCTTTCACCTCCACATTAATGGAAAACATTCCATAATTCCAGCCAATTCATTTCATCATATGATTTCTTTAAGTTTGCAAATGTACAATTAAACTTTCTCATATTCATGTATTTCTCAATGACCTATTGAAGAACAAAAGTCTATTTTGCAGACTCTCTGCCTAGAATAAAGTTGCACTGTAGTTCTTCCATGTTGCTCATTATCACTTCTCATAGTGTTTCAATACTGCCAAACACCTTCCCAGGCATACTTAACAAACGAATGCTCTATAGTTTTGAAGGTACTCTTACTTCGTTTCTCCTTATAAGTGAATAATTAGCAACACCCATAGGAATTCACTGCTTTCGTCAGAATGATAAAAGCAGCATTGCAATATAGCGCTGCAAATTCCACCCCTTTGGGTGTGTGCGTGCAAAGTTAGTCTGCTCTGGACATCAGTCTGACTCCTACTGCGCCCCACCTGCAGATACCATTGGGAACAATGATGGCATTCTTCCAGCTGTCAACCGTAACTGCAGTCTTCACACACACACTAAACAAGTCACTCTACTGTATAGGCAAATCATATTCATAATGTAATGGCAGGGCTGAGCCCATAGAGGGAAAACTGGGAGGACTCAACTTCTCTACCACAAGTCCTCTGGGTAGACACACCTTGGTTTCACCTCCTTGATCATGTGTAGTGGTGTGGTAGTTCTCAGTGCCACCCCCAATCTTTCAAGGGATGCAAGAGGTGTAAACAAAGCTCAGTGTTATTTCAAATTGCACTGTCCTACGCAAGCTAGAATGTCTAATCTAAAGATTACCCTGCAAGCTATTATACTATTGACTGCATCCCACCAATTAGGAATAGCAGTATTGTACTGAGATATTCAGGATACAAATGTATAGACAGACAGACAAACAGACAGATAGACAGGAACTGATGCAGCCTGCTGGGAAGGCACAAAGAGAGACATATTTGTCTTTATATTGCTTACTGTCTTATTGTAAATAGTTTGGTTTCTGTGGAAAAAAAGGCTGAACCATACAGGCTTTTGTTATGGTCTAACAGGATTAACTGTTCTGGTTAGAAAATGAACTAAAACTATAGAAAAATAGTTACGAGAAAGGCCTAGTATCTATAGTTTGATCCAATCAAAAGAGAAAACAGCAATGAATCCAATGAGCAAAATTTCCAATTCTTTTGTTAGTAAAGTGTTAATTATGTTCCTTTCTTCTTTCCCACCGAAAGCATTTCCACTTGGACAGTAAAAGTTAATCCTTCAATTTGTAGGCATATTATATTCAGTGTGCTGCCCTTTTGGTGAAGCAGAATAAGAACAGAGTAGAGCTGAAAATTACTTGGTAAGATTTATTTTTACTTGAATTGACTCCTTATCTATTGCTTTTTGTAACCTTGGCTAATCAAGTACAGTTATCTTATTATCTGCCATAGACGTACAGTAATGCTATGGTTGCAATTCTACATTTTCGGAGGCGTATATCCCAATGGCTGTGTTTGTACTGTACATGGATCCATGGTTAACTGTAGCATAGAGAGCTTAATTGGAACGTAAGCTTCTAAATGTTGAACTAATATTTAGTTCTCTGAGACAACGGCATTCAATTTTGCGTGTGATCCCTTGTATTTTTGGGTTAAGAATTAGGATCATTCTGAGATGGGTGGGAGACAGTGAAAAAAATGTTCGGGTTGATTTCTGCAGGCTTATTTCAGCATCAATATCAGCGTGTGAGCTTGGAAAATCACGCGGACAGCTGAGTGGTTTTCTTCAGAGCGCCGTATTTTTAGAATCCATTTTCAAAGGACCCAGAAGAGCTAAGCGTCAAGATGACATTGAGTACAGTATGTGTGGACTGGGCGGCAGTCACGCCGCGAAAGATGCATTGAGCACGAGGCTAGAGCCGCTCGGGAAACTCTGGGATTGAAAAGCGATGAGAAGCTGAGACGAGAAATCTCTCCTTGCAGAAGGGGGGGGAGGGAGGGAGACGAGAAGACCCTCGCCGCCAGCACTGACCCGGGAGGGCCGCCACCACCCGCTCTCCAGCC